TCCATTCGTCCATTACTGGACATATGGGTTGTTTCCACCTTTTAGCTATTGTGAATAATGCTGCTATGAACACTGATATACAAATACCTGTTTGAGTCCCTGCTTTCAATTCTTTTGGGTATATGCTAAGGGTGACACTTCTAAGGGACATTAATTCTTGTATTAAAGACTGAAGAGAAAAATTGCAAGTTGACTTTCTTCTCTCTCTCCCTGCAATTAAAATGACTGGTGTGATCAATGGAAATCAGTTTTGAAGAATCAGTTGTGACAGAGTTATCAGCATTAAACCATAGCAAATGTAGCAGGTAGTCCCTAATTAATTCTCTTGTTCTGTGTTCTTTGACACAATCCAGGAATTACTTTAACATGATATGAACATTCATATCATTGAGCCAGAATCCAAATCTTTACATGTGCATTTAAATAAAAGCCTTAATAATTACTTGCTTTTTTGGTCTAGTTTATTAGACTATAAAGGCAGGGACTGTTTTGTTTGCCTCTGTATTTTCAACACACACTAGGTATACAATGTGTATTTTCTAAAAAAGAAAAAAAAGAACTTTAAATAGGTCTCTAAGCATATTAGGTATACCATTTCAGAGTGCACCCATACACAAACATATATATATATATATATATATATATATATATATATATATATACACACAAAATTTTCCTTCTTTTACTATCACTTATATTGAATAATTTATTTTAATAATGCTCTCATTGTGTTGCCTTTCTCCTAACATACTTTTAGTAATGCCTTTAATCCACTGTCCATATTTGAAAATAGTAAGTATTGTTTTATTCATTGATATTTTAGTCTCATATTTCTTAGTAAATCCTGTAATATGTTTCCTCTTACCGTTCCTACACATAACACAACTTTAAAAAATTTATCTTTATGATTTCATGATGGACTAAAAAAATTTAACTTGCGTGTATGGTGGATAAAATCTAACATTACCCCAATATTATAAGTGGTAAAAAGCCTCTTTCACAATCGTAGGCTGATTCTGTTTTTTAAATCATCTTCTGCCAAGATTAGGGCTTGGCTGGCCCTGATCCAGGGCTATTTCTAATAACATTTTTTGCTGCCCTAAGTATGAATTGAAAAGACTTGCTTAACTCACTTTCAGTCCAATTAAATATGTAAAGGAGAAGCTTCCAGGCTTCAAGGCTAAAGGCAGCATTTGAAAATGTTCACCACTGAAGATTTATTACCCCCATCACTTCCTAAGGTCCTTGCCTCCTATCACTGTTCCACAAACACACTCTGCACTTTGTTTTTTCTGGGTTTGGCTCTGTGTTTCCTCTGCTTAGACTATTCTCATTTATTTCACTTTGAGAAAGTCTAATGGCTCTTCAGTGCCACCCAAATTCTTCATCCCCCAGGAAAACTTTTATGTTCTTTACCAATGAAAATGTCTCCTTCCCTTGAATCCACATAACAATTTGTGCTTTCCTAACTGAATTAATCATAACAACATATACTTGCACCAATACATTGCTATGCTTTTTCTCACATCCCTTCTCTCTGTCTCTCTCTGTCTCCCCTCCTACATAGAATATTATATGGCATGAAATTGGTTTCCTGAAAAGGACCCCTCTCCCTAGCCTGAATAACCCACTGATCAATTGAAGAAAGGACTGTCCTATGGAATTCTTGGTAGTCCTGGAGAAATAATCAATCCCATCCCTGTCTACATCATCAAAAGTAGTCCATGGCTTCTCTCCGATGCATCCCTCACCTCCCAGATATTTCTTCCCATGTAGCTCTTCACACACCCTAATGTGATTCAGTTTCCCACTTCACCTTTACTTCCACCACCAACCTTTCACCAGGATTCCTTGGAATTCATAGTCCATCATCAGCAATATCCCCTAAATATTCAACCTTCCCTTTGAATATTACCATTACTTTTTTACTCTTCCCACCCTGGTCCTCTCACCTACATACGATATTGCTTTCTAAGGCTGACTCAAAAAGTGGCTCCCATATCTGACATAGCACAGTGCCTAGAGGTAGAGAGGTGGCACGTGTCCTGTCCCTGAATCACTGCTTCTAGAACATTATTCTATCTCCTTTGCCACCTTCTCGCAATTCTTCTGAAGTAAATGCCATCATCAGATAATATCACCCATTAAATTCTCTTACTGCCGTCATCTATAGGTTTCTTGAATAATCTCCTTTATTAATGGAATATTTTAGCATTTAGCTTACTTTTTTTCTCCACTACAATATTACTTCTATTAGCATGAGTGGTCATGTAAAAATACACAGGGGCACTCTATTCACAGCAGCGCTTGACAGCTGATCACTCCCTCTTTCATCAATTTAGTTCTTACGAGTCTCAGGGACCCTGTTATACATTTTCCTAGTATTCTTGCTACCTCATGGCAGCAATTTCTCAGCATCATTTGATGAATCCTCTTCCTGATCTCTAAGTATTGAGTTCCTAAGGCTTAGTCTTTGGATTTTTTTTTTTTAAGATTTTTGTTTTTTTGATGTGGACCATTTTTCAAGTCTTTACTGAATTTGTTACAATATTGCTTCTGTTTCATGTTTTGGTTTTTTGGCCGCGAGCCATGTGGGATCTCAGCTCCCCAACCAGGGATCAAACCTGCACACCCTGCATTGGCAGGCGAAGTCTTAACCACTGGACCGCCAGGGAAGTCCCTGGACTTTTCTACCTACATCCATTTTCTTAAATATCATGATTTCATCCTGGTCTGCAATTTCTTTCCTGAATCTAAATCAGCATCTGTAACCATCTTGCCAAGAATTATGCTTGCATATTGAAAATATCCCAAACATGGGATAAAATAGCCATTAGCATACAAACATAAAAAATATCTGAACGTGAAATATCTAAAAGTGAACTCTTGATTTTTACACCATAATTCCCGAGGGAGCAAAGGGGACCTGTTCAGAACAAAACCCTCAGAGTCAACCTTGATTTTCTCTAATGCCCCACATATAATCCATCAGCAAATCCTTTTGGCTTCCTTTTTACTTCCTTCTCATCATCTCCCCATTCTACACGATGGTTCAAGTCACTACCAAATCTTGCCTGGACTAGTGATGCACTGGGCTCTGTTTCTACTCTTGTCTAAAAACACTGTGTACCTACTCCCACATCCCACCCTGCACAATATCCAGAAAAATCCTTTTATATTGGATTATGTCACACTTCTAGACAAAACCATTCAAAAACTTTCTTTCTAAGCACATCTAAAATAAATCCCATATTCTAGTCCTGGGCTGCATTTCCAGCCTCATCCCCAGCCAGTCTTTTTCAGTCACACTGACCTCCCCAAATTCCCTCCAACTTTAGAGACTTTATATTGGAATGCCCAGAATGCTCCTTTAGAAATAGACAAGTCTCTCTCTTGACCACATGACTTTATGTTAATAGTTCCTGTTTTCTTGATCTACAATTTGTTTCTTCTATTAGTTTGTTTGCATTACTAGGGTGGGAAGTTTGGGGATTTTTTGTTTGATTATTTTTTAGTTTCTCTATGTCCAACTTCTAGAACAATTCACACTATAAACACCCAAAAATTATTTACTGACTAAATGAATAAACTGAATCAATCGTTAATAGGACTAAAATGTAAAATAAGATAAAAATCAACTACAAAGGACTGTTACCTGTAAATCATAGAATGCAAGTTGGATATAATGTAATTGGCTTAAATTTGTACACCAATTTTAGTTGCAACTGGTGATTCAAATCAGGAGTCAGAATTTGGCACCATGGAAGAGCTATTTTGCAAGTACAACACACATGCTTTATTTGCTTGGTTGATTTTTCTCTTTCTTACTTAAGGATGTTAAGGTGATAAAATCATATGTAAGAAGAGCTCAATCATGGTACTCCTGGTAATAGGCATATAATGACAACTACTCATGTGCAAAACTAGAGGCAATCAATAGCTGGATTTGCTTAGAAATATTTAGGTTTTATGTTTGTATGCTAATAGCTATTTTAAAAATTGATTATTAAAATAGCTTCAGAAATATAACTCTGTAATTAATCATCTAAAATCCTATAGCCTATAAAATTTCCTCAGTGTAATGCAATATTTACAAATTTATTTTTTACCTATAAAACTATTTCAACTTTATGTACTATTGAAAAAATCTGAAAACATATTTAATAATTAACTAAAGAAAAATTGAAAATTATCAACTTTAGTCTATGATATTGTGTTTTTAAATTCTAACATTTCTGACATATGAAGGTTTTAAAAAATCTTTACTAAAGTACTAATGCTAGTAGTGTTAGTAGTGTTATTTTTTACACTGATTTAACTAGCATCTTGAATTTTAAAAAATTATTGCAGAAAAAAGAATTACAAAATTTATTACATTATTTCTTCAATCAGAAAATAGTAATTTTATGTTTGCTACAAGAAACTCCATTTTGAGAATCTTTGGAGTTATTGTAAATTAATCCTGAATATTAAAGGCATACAAATATACTAGGAAAACAGACATTTTGATATCTTATTCAATGTAAAACATCATATGGGCTTCCCTGGTGGCGTAGTGCTTGAGAGTCCGCCTGCCGATGCAGGGGACGCGGGTTCGTGCCCCGTTTCGGGAGGATCCCGCGTGCCGCGGAGCGGCTGGGCCCGTGAGCCATGGCCGCTGAGCCTGCGCGTCCGGAGCCTGTGCTCCGCAAATGGGAGGGGCCACAACAGTGAGAGGCCCGCATAACGCAAGAAAAAAAAAAAAAAAAAATTTCAAAAAAACATCACAAATAATTTGTTCCTATTTTTATAGTAAAAATAAAGCACAAAAAGTTGCTTAGTATTCACCTCATAATCTGTATTTAGTTTGACTAATTAAACTCATTTATCTGTTTCAGACTTTTGTTTAAACTATGAAAATATACTCAGTTAATATAAATTACATGATTATAGTTTATCTACAAAATATGATCTCTTTGTTTTGACTTTTTAGTTCTGGATCTTAATAAATGTTCTCATACCTTAACTCTGAGCACAGAAGCAAACATTCTTGCATCTTCAGATACACCTCCAATGTAGAATTTTTTCTGAAACACTGGGGGATGATCATTTTCATCCTGAATCTCAATATACACTTTAGCTGTATTGCCTGGAGGAAAAGAAATAATATATTTTTCATTGATAGTCATTAATTAGAAAAAGATGGACTGGAGTAAATAATTATTGTACTTTCTTTTGAACACTGGAAGAAACTTAAATCAGAAAGTCATTCCTAATTGGCATGCTTAATACCCCATACCCAAAGAGGACATTGATAATGATGTTTCTGGCAACATAATGTTAAGTTGCTGCTATTTCTTTTAATTATAATGTCTTGTTAATTCATCTTACTTGATTTAATAGACACTAAAGTATTGTGTTCTGCTAATTTTAATAAAACAATTCAACCTTTCATATTTAAAAATACTTCACACACATTACAAATTACACCAAAGCGACATAAATATATAAAATACCTTATGAAATAATAGTCTGCCATAAATTTAAAAATATTTTTATTCTTAAGTATAGAACTAGCAATGATATTCTCTTAGCTTAACATGTAGTATTACACATATATGCATATATGTGTGTGTGTGTATATATATGTGTGTGTATATATATATGTGTGTGTATATATATATATATATATATAAAGATTAGAAGTAAAAAATGTTTGGGTGAGGTGCTTATTTCCGCAAAGGGAAAACAAATTTTATCGTGCATTAGAGGCTATCTAGCATTCATTGGAAAAGATGTAGCTGGAGAGATGATTTTTGTATGACTTATAAATACTGGGTTTTATAATTTAAACCACATTAAATATACCATAAAGAATACATTTCATCACCACATGTTAAAAATCTCACTCCCTCAATCATCGCACTTTTAAGGAAAAATGTAGCACTTTTTACTAGTACAAGAATGACCCTTTACAAAGAATCTGATAAATGAAAATAACTTACAAACCAGATAAAATGAGGAATAACTGGTAAACATTTTGCAAAAAGTAGATTCAAATTACACAAATATTTTGATGTATTATCTAAGTAAACTTTTCTTATGCATTTCAAGTAGGATCAAATATATGGCAATTGATCTACAAACTATCAGGCAAACCCAGATGTTACTACTTTATTGTATCCTCAGCTATAACTAATTAACACCAACCTACTAGCACAGTGGGTGGATCATGGGTGTATAATATATGTGTCGATTAAATGAATGAATAATCTTCATTGTCCTAGTAAGAATTTAGAAGAAGGCTCCTTTTTGCTTAACTTGGGAAAGGTCAGTGAGACAAGAGAGTTAACCACAAGGTTTTACATCTGTCCTACTGCTATTCATTTAGTTTCTCCCCTATTGGTCTCTTTCCCACCATTCCTGAACTGGAGAAGTTAGAATCAAAAAGAAAAACTTACTAGGTCAACAAAGAAGTGTACCAGCAGGGAAGTAAGGTTAATGATAGACTATGCTTTTCTATCCTACAGTACCAGGGCTTCAAAACTGCACCCTGGTCAGCCACCAACAGAGTTCATCCAAAATGAAACCCATTTTCATCAGTAGCAATTTTTAATTTCTGGAATCAAAGGAGCTAATTTGATAATCTTTTTAAAAAAGTAAGTCAAACTAAAACTGAGGATCTAAAGCACAGCATGGTGATGATAGTTAATAATACTGTACTATGTACTTAAATCTGCTAAGAGAGTAGATTTAAAATGTTCTCACCAAACACACATATACACACACACACAACAGGACAGAAATGTGAGTTGATGGATGTGAAAACTAACGTGTGGTAATCATTTCACAGTATATATGTATATCAAAACACCACATTGTACAACTTAAATATATACAGTTTGTCAATTATACTTGAATAAAGCAGGAGGGTGGAAATTGTGATGTATCTAATTAAGGAACATAAAATAAATGTTGGCCAGTCCAAAAATAATTAAAGTACCCCTATAGTTTAATCACTAGAATAGCATTCACTTAGATTTTCTGATTCATTAACATACAATATCCATGACACCATAGATTTCTGAGGCTCATACACTTTCACTAGGTGTGTGTAAGGACTAAGGACTGTATCACGGTCTTTCACCTAATTTGGGTTTTGATTATTTCTAAGGCAGAAACTTGGAAGCAACTCTCATTTAAATTTGTTTAAGGGAATCTACTATTTACCTCCTTGAGTATTTGAAGAATCTTTTTTTCCCTCCATATTATATCATTTTTTAAGGTAGTTATGAAGCGCAGAACAAGAAAGAAAGATGCAGGGTGGGTGGGGGAGAAAGGAAAGTGGTGTTGATAAAATGGATAAGAGAATGCTGTGAGAAGGACAACACAAGTGCCTGATGACCTAATACCCTCTTGCAGTCTCCCTTATGGTTGGGTGAGACAATGACAGCCTTCCAAGGAAAACCACAGGGGATGAAGGAAATTATAAACTGGATGAAAGACGGCTTGGCAAGTGTTTTGGTTAAAAGACATTGTATCCTTCTATGCACTTTGGGGCCCAGTGCCTCATTTCCCTTCCTTCACTGACATTCTTTTTCTCCAGTTCTGTATGAGAGAAACTTCTCTCTGGGCAGTACCTCTGGATTGAGTCAGGAAGTTCCAGAAGTGACCCTTGAGGCAAGGAAATGTGAGCTACGTTCCTGGGACTTACTAGTTTAAAGAAAGAGAAAATAGAATTATTAAGAAGTAAAGCTCAGAAAAGGAAATACAAGTCAGGATATAAAACTCCTTGAGCAGATCTTCTGTTCTATGTTAGACATCCTAAACAAGGTGAAAAATGTTCAGAAGAGTAACTGATAGTCAAAATACCATTAACTTTAACTTGACTCTATGTTTTTCAAAACGAAATTTGGTTTGGATATTTTTCCCTTTCCTTTACTTTTAATAATTAATTCTGTATGGTTAGTTTTCTCTTCTTAGGGAACCCTTATTATTCTCAAGATGAATCTGTTTCTTCTATCCACATGACCAACCTATTGCCTACACTGCATCAGGTTCTCATAAAATACTTTCTGAATAATGTTCCAAGGAGTTAAAGCAATGGTTCTAGACCATGATTGATTTTGCCTATCCAGAGACATTTCTGGTAGTAATAACTACAGAGGGTGGGGCAGTGGGGGGGGGAGTACTACTGGAATTTAGTTGGTAGAGGCCAGAGATGCTGAGAAACATCCAGTGATGAACAGGACAAGCCCCTATGACAAAAAATTATCCAGCCCAAAATGTCAGTAGTGATGAGGTTGAAAAACCCTAGTTAAAATGAGAGAGAGAGGGAGAGGGAGAGGGAGACGGAGAGAGAGAGAGAGAGAGATTGGCTAGAGGAATAAAGATAAAATGGAAAGTGTGTGTAAATATATAACAATGCCCTCTCCTGAGCCCATTTACGTGCACATGCCTTCGATACAGGACTCAATCAAAATGGGCTGCAATTATTTGATCAAACATTGGTCATCGCCATCTTCACTGCGTTCTTTAAAGTCAGAGGTTCAATCCCATTCACCTCCACCCCGTCACTGCCTGTTCCTGACATTCCCTCAATCCATATGCTGTGAACTCCAACCATATCTCTAATTATTACTAGCATATAAACATCAAAGAAATATTAACTATAATACTTGGGAATACAGGAGCTTAGTCTGATATAAAACATACACTAGATTAGACTGTAAAACCTTGAAGCCAAGGACGGTGTTTTTCTCACTGTTAAATATTCTTTGTGGTCTAACACATTACATAGAGTTTTTTTTTTTGACTTGTATCATAATGTGGTTCTATTGCACAGAACTTTCAAAAGAATGCTTGGAATACCAGAGTTACATATTTGTTACTTTGCTGGTGCCAAGAGATGAAAGTTAGATCCTCTTTAAAGTGCACACACACACACACACACACACACAAATATCTTTTATGCTATTTTTCCTTTAATACTATTTTTGTATGTGCTTTACTGGCAAACTAAATTTTAGAAGCACCATGACGTATACACAGTAGGTGTTTAATAAATGTTGAATTAGACTAAAATTGCTACCACTCCCCTACCTGATATTCGCTTAAATAGAATGAATCACTGTATTTTATCCCCATAAATGAAATGAGATGATACATATTTAAGCCCTTAAAAAACCATAGTGCCAAGCAACTGCATGTTGTTGTTAAGAGTAAACATATCTCTCTTAAAGATAACAGACTTTTTTTAAAGTTTAATATTAGGAAAATACTAAACCTAGAACCATTCATAATTCTGTGGGCTGTCTGCAATTACCCTGAAGATTCTTGGTTCTTACACTATTGTTAACTTCCTCTCTGTTCCTCTGCCTTAGTTTATATGCCAGATAAATGACTATTTCTATAGATAAGGAATGTTTAAGAACAAAAGGATCATCTGAGATAAGCATGTAATCTGATCTTACTAAAGGGTTTATAGACAGTTATTCACTAAGAAAATAGTTTGAATAAAAGGTATAGAAGAAATGTGTTATAGTGTGTTCATTAGATGGAATTAGGAATATATTTACATGATCTTTTGAAAAATAAGTTATTAAGTATGTTAGAATGAGAAAAGTCACTGTTTCTTATCTCTCAGCTTTTTGCTCTGCAGGAATTGTACTTAGTCATATTTATATACAATGCTTATTTTAAGTAGTTAGGCAGCAAGAGAGACAATATTTTGAGGTTCATTTTAGTAGTTTTCTAATTTAGCTTTGATGTTGATTAGCTTTTGCATGATTTTCATTGCTTGTATCTAAAACATACATTTTTGTATATGTGTTGGCTGAAAGGTTAATGACTGAATTAAAGAAATAACTGCATGTAACTACTGGCTTCAAAACTTACACTCAGATAATATACACTTGATTTTTTTTTTAATATACACTTGATTTTTAGCTAAGTCTTTTAGTGAAGAAAATGACGACATTGACAATTTTACAACTATAGTGATGAGGAGATAATCAGGGGAGTAATATTCTAAATATTAATTAAAGTTTGGCTTTGTGTCTATATTAACGTATTTTTCCCATTAGGAAAATTTAATAAACTAAGTTTCCCTGTAAACAGTAACCAGCAAAACAGAAGCTAAGAATGCAA